GAACCAAAACAACCAGGAAAATAATAGTTTTTGTCTAGTCTGAAAAAGGGAAATGTTTTTCTTTTCCCTGAAAGAAAAATTAAAAGTAGTTTTAATAGTATTTTACCCTCCGTTATTGTAACTAATCATAGCCTAAAAATACCATTTTGTATTCATTCTGACAGTGTTGAATCAAAAACCGCTTTAAGTTAAAAGAAAAAAGTTATTGTACTTCTGATGAGAAACTTCACCCAGTGCTATTAGTGAAAGTTTAGTGCAACAAGTATTACCTTTTTTCCTTTTGTCTGTCAGTTCATAATACTCATCAGGTTGGTCTGTAAAACTCTTCACCAAGCTCTTCAGTAAATAATTCATCTGTGGGTATTCTTTTTTTCTTCTCGTGAACAGTCATTTTTTCAATCTGTTTGGCTGATTTGCGGTGGTTGTACTGCATTGCTTCTTCCCCCAGTCATGGCGTTTACAGATGGGAAAAGAGAAGCAATAAGGGCATGTAAAAGACGAAATAATATTACATTGTTCACAAAGCATAATTTATTGCTATATTAAAGTGTGATTTAAAAAAAATATATATTTATGGCCATTCAAAATCTGTTATTCACTTAGAGCTAAACCAGAAAAATGATTTACAGAGGCTCTGCCCACAAAGGCTGGGCATGCAAACACCCTTTTATATTGGTGTCAGACTGATGTCCCTCTAGATAAGCAGGCATATTGGACTTTTTACTGGAGCATCATTTCATCACAACAGTCATCGGCATCATATAGCTTCCCATATGACTGTAGTTTATAGGCAAATAAATAAGTTAAACTTCACCTTTGGATGGATCAGAGTGTTTCGCTAGATCAGGATTTCAACTCCGAGTTTTAAATTTGATTTCCGTGAGTTCAGATTTCACATATCTGAATGTTCAAAGTCTGGCCAAATTAAGAGAGTTTGTATTCAAAGTATGAGGAAATTTTTTCTCCTAGCCATTAAGGTCTTCTCATAATGAGAAGATTTTCATATTCTGAATTTGTTTTCACTTTTCCCTCTCATTCTAGCTTTAATCCCAATCCTTTGCAAAGGCACACCTTCTGGACAATTGTTATAGGTGGGACCTTCACATGGACTGGCATATATGGGATCAACCAGTCTCAAGTACAGAGATACATCGCATGCAAAAGCAGGTTCCACGCAAAAATGTAAGTCTGCCTACAGTAACTCTTGATGTCTGAATTTAGCAGTGACTCTTCTTTTTTTTAAAAATAATGTTTTTTTGTCTATATAAAACCCATTTGTAAAGGGTTACAACTTTTGCTTCCTGTTTTGTGGACCAGGTAGAAGGCAAATCATCACAATAAATACCGGTATATGAATTACATATAATGGCTGTAACATTGAACTTTGTGCCAGAATGTTTCACTGTGCCAGTATTCTTGCATACAAATAGCTGCATTAAGTTTATATGCAACCTAAAGACCAAATAATATAGTACTTATGCTGAAGCCATATCAAGATAGCATCTTGAATTGCTACTCTACTAAACTTAAATCATTGTGCATCATCAATTTTGCATAAGTAAAGACTCAAAGATTTTTCCATACTGATGAGTATATGCATGAGAAAATGCAGAAGTGTTTTATTCAGTGATAAAATTGCTGAGGAATCATATATTTTGTTTTCATAATAATCATGAATTTTTGTTCAGGAATTCACTATGGAAACTGTCAGAGAGCTGTTTTCCTTGAGTTTAAACATTTCTGATCAGCCTTTACCCTAGAACGGAGTATATTTACCAACTCTGTTATCTTACCTTTATCTTTAGTATCATTCCAGTAGTTCATAACTCAGGATTTAAGAACTATTAGCAAGCTCATAAAGTCTATTTATAGGAGAAATATATACATGCACATCGTAACTATAGTCTCTATAAATTCTATAATACAGTGACATACAGAGAAGGAGTTTTATGAACGCTTTCACTTCATAAAGTCAGCAGAATACCCACAAAATCATGTACAGTTTAGAACTGAAATATTTTGCTTACGGCAATACTGAAAAATCTACTTTACAGGCATTTACACTGCAGACAGGACATTAATCTCCAGCGTATCATGCCACATCTCCAACACACCACATGGCTTCTCCACAGTCTCTAGTGTGTGGCTGGGTTCCAGGTTCTCAGCACTGCAGAGGCAGGAGGTGCATCCCACATCTGTAACGCTGCTTGTCATGACTGCATATAGAAAAACAGCCGCATACATTGTGTGCCAGATTTGTGTGCCAGTGAGACTGTTCTTCCTGAGCACCTGCTCCACTTAGGGCTGTGCTCCTCTCTTGCACCCTCCCTACTCTCTTTGTAAGGAGGGACACCTCCAGGGTGTCCCAGAAGCAGAGTGTGGCCAAGGGGAATCTGGCACCATGGCAGCTTCTGGGCAGATTTTCTGAGCTGTTGCAGCAGCTTTGACCAGGGCTGGAGGCTATCTGGTTCTGGAGGGGTTTGGATAGGATTTATAGCTCATACCATAGTAGTGGTGGCACAGCCTTAATCAGTGGAGTCCTCTCCTGCTGGCGTGGGTGGTTGGACTCCATGGCATCTTGCCCATGCCTCGCTTGTGCAGGGAATTTCCCCTGCATGTAGAAATCATTTTGTATAATGGTTGCAGCTTGTCACAACTATAAACACTGCCATTCTGTGGTGACTATCTAGTTCATTTGCAAATGTAATTAGACACATCTGGCAAGTCACATTGGTGGCCTGCACTTCTTATTGGCATTTAACCTGTACACAGAAGTGTAAAATGCCATCAGGTCAAAGTAATAGGGTTTTGTACCCCTGTGGCATTTACTGTAAGGCTTTATAAGAGACGGCACAATAGTAAATCAGAGATGAGAAAATAATTCTTTCACAGATCCCAACTTCCAGTTTTTTGGGAAGGCCTTTAACAGTGGCACAAGAGTAGGAATTTTCTCAGGCTTTGGGAAAGGATTTCACCCCATTTAAGAAACACATCAGTAGGTAGGAGCACATGGTGTCATCCTCAAACGGTAACTAGGCAAATTGAACATAATACTCATATATGAACAATAACAGGCACTCAGAGCAGGAGAGCTACATTTTCAGAAAAATATGGGCTACTAATACATTTTTCTCTACTTTCCTTTCAAGGTCATCATCTGGCACGTTTCAGTGCTAAAACCTTAGAGCCAGCCTGAAACAAACAACCAAAAATAAGCCTTGTGCAGTCATAGTACCTACTTCACCCAAACTCCACCCCATGTTACTCACCCAGAATTAATGGGAACACCTCCCTCCAGTAGGGCTACAATTATTGTACTCCAGTGCTTAGTCATAGGGTGTACCATGAGCTGGGATGTAAATCAGAAAAAAAAAAAAGCTTTCTTTTCACTGTCAAACACTGATGCAGTTTAAAAACAAGAATTGCTGGATTCAGACAAACAATTTCTTTTGCTTCCATGTGTTTTGCTTGACTTCTAATCTTTACTACAGGCTATAGGCTAATACTGTTATTACATCTATTGGAAACATTTGGATTGATTTAACTCATTGGTTAAATTTTGTCCTAAATCAGCTTATATCAAGTTAGATTATGTCAATGCAGGAACAGCTTCAGCTAAATGGATGCAAGACATGCAACCAATATCTATAAGAGGACTATTTCATTTTTACTAAATTAGTCTAGAGAGAAATTTAAAGTGCTGCTGGTTCTGTGTTTAGAACACCCCTAATTGCAAATACAATGCATAAAGGCAGAGTTTCCCCTACTATGTGTAAATCAGCTTTTATTTATATAGGTCTTTCTTAAGAGTCTACATTGTGCTTGCGAATAGTTTTTCTGTGATATAAAACTGATAGTTCAACTAGTTAATCTACATTATGCCTTTCTGAAAACGTCCATTTCAATGCCTAACAAGGCCTATAAAAAATGGGTTTACTTCTTCATTCGTCCTGATGGTCCTCTACAGCAGTCCAAAGGCTGGTGCCCCTTACCTTCTTGCCACCTGAAAGCACTAAGAGGCCTCCTGAAGCCTTGCAAGCATGGATATATTTGCATGGAAACTAAAGGTCCTCCCAGTGGAGGTCTTAGCAGTTGGCACAGGTCCAGGGTACGTCACCTGTCAGGCAGTTGAATCGCTGTCAGCGGATGGTACACAGATAACCGGGAAGCAACTGCTGCAAAGGAACGCTGTTTTTCAAGGCCAAGCTCCTGGTGGGTGTGTTTGCTTAAACTGACGACCCTAGATGAGAAGAACTTTGTGACCCAGGAGTCATCAAGAGCTGAGAAACATTTGAGACAATCAGATAGTTAGACAGAAGGGAAAAGCCCTCACTGGGTGAGGTGAGCAATTTGTTTTTCACTGCCAATAGAGCCTGCCTGTTCTGTGTGGCAAAAGCAGCATTAATGCTTGATGAAAACACATTTCTGCTCTCAGCATTAGCTGAAGCTCCCATCAGGACATGGGGAGGAGATGGGGTTACTGGACCTTCAAGTTGTTTAGCTACTAAAGGGGAAGCCCTGGGGTCAGTGGCAACCCTCTGCTCTCTGGAAGTGGCAGCCATAGGTGGCTCCAGACCAGGTCCCAGTGCCTCATTGCTGCCTCCCACAGAGACTTTCCTGGGAGGAGGTGGGGGATTTGTTGCTTTACAAGGGCAACTCCAGCATTGTGTAAGTGTGGCACTACAGCTCCAGAGGCAAAGGAGTGCTGGTGCTGACTAAAAGGTACCCCACACTTTGATCTGGGGCACCCCGCCTTACAAATCTGTCCGGGGTTTGTCTTTACGAAGGGGTGTGGCAAGGGGGGAAGAGCG